CCCCCCCCTCCACCATAGATAAAATACACCAATTTATTACCCAAAAAGAAGAACTAAAGCCCAGTGCTGGACCCAAAAAACCCAGTCCCTCGAAGAGATGGACGAGAAACAATATTTGTGACAAATAACTCAAACCTGTTTGCGTAATCTTGACCTCCTAGCTGATTCTCGATTTGATTGCTTTCTCTTTTGCCTTTTAAGTTCACGTTCATCCTATGAAGAAGGGTTATAAAGCACTTATCAACAAAAAGGTGAAGATAATAACAAGGGTACAATCCCATTATTGACAGCACACATATTGAGATACAAATAAAAATAACAACAAAAGCAACGATCACTTTTTGAAATGTGTAAACATTCCTTCAGATTCCCACAAAGTTACTGAGATACAGCAAACTAGCAAGATAAAGACACAAAGATATAGAGCTGCCAAAATATGGAACCATAACTAAAAAGTTAATGATAAGGAAGTTGAAACCAAGTTCAGTTTCTTGCGACCAAATTTCAACCCTTACTCAGGTTTAAATTTTATAAATTTAATTTAAGAGATATTTGGGCAAATATGGTCCTACAAACAGGCAAGTTTATTACAAAAGAATGAACCGGTTGTTTCTTTAAAAGTTCTCCGGCAGAACAATACTGTATGTTTCAAGATTATAATTGCTGAAAGAACTTCTGCACTTCTGGTCAGTAACTAGCCATCAGTTATTTTAGGACCAACCAAAACATCAGAAGACCTGTAAAAACCCGGACTTAAGCTCGAACGCTCTCCAGATCACTATCTAGGTTTAGATCTTTCTCTATCCCCTTTGAATATCATAGTTTCCCCGAACCATCGTTTTTGTTAGATAGTTACTTGACCTTATTAAATATATGGATATAAGTATTATATGTAGTAGTGTCACTCATTGGTTAAATGTAAGATGCCTATAAATAGGTTTGTCTTGTATTACCTTATTATCAACTCATCAACACACCTCTCATTTCCTCACGATTCAATATTTTGTTGAGTAAACATGAATTCTGAATGTCAAGTTACACCAGAAACAATGAGTCTTATTGAACAATATCTTCAAATACCCCTAATGACCGTATGCAACAAAGAAAAGGGAGTACATTTTGTGCTTTTAATCACACAAGCGGCTAGAGGAATTAATTTGATAAGATATTGGCACTATGTACAGAGCACAAAAGTAACACGATCAACTGTGCATTTGTTTGTTTCAGAAAATTGAATGAAGGACAAAAAAAAAATCTACCTGAATCCATTCACGTCCTATCCCAGGAGCTGGTGCGACACCAGATTGATTTGATCGCATTTTAATCATTCCAGGACCGGCAGATGATGCATTCCACAAATCCATTCCGATATTCAGATTAGTTGCAGGCATAGCAACCGGATTCCCTGTTGCAGGATTGTTCTGAGAACTGGCTCCTGATAATTGACAATCACATAAACCTATTTAATAAAACGAATAAGGCATAATTAAGGAGCAGACAAGCCACACAAGTTACCATTTGCAAGCATTAGATCAAAGTTTCTACTCTTGTTTGCAGAAAATTCCTGAGATAATAAAACAAGAAAAAACAGTCTTAACTAGCAGTTGATAGGGAACATACATGACACCAATATATTTTAAGTAAACTATGAAACTCTTTAAGTTAAATCGGAGTGCATACATGGTTATCATTTTCATCATTTGCATCTGATGAACCTTCACTTCCGCTTTCAGCACTATTCAAGAGAATATATTAAGTCAGATGTACAAGGACACATCCAAAAGAAGAACAATTTAAAGGGAAGTGAGATTAAAATGAGTCAAAAGACAAAATTTAACAATAAATCCACATGAAAAGACCTTCTTGTGGCACCGTCATTTCCAGAACCTGAAGTCGCTTTCCCACTTTCTCCTGCCTTGCCACCTGTATATCCCTTTAATTTTTTGCTTGTACTCTGGTCCTTGGGATCAGGTGCCTTACTATCTGATTCTGGATTTGCCTGCAGTGGGTTTGGAGTCTACCAAAAGGACATGAACGATATTAATAAGATAGAGGCATTTGAGGGGAAAAATTATTCACAGAAAAGTTATACATGAGTGACTCTCTTTCATCAGCTTTCAAATTGATAGTAACCGAATAACAAAAGGACTGGTTACCATGGGCATATTAGGATGAGCATAAACTCCAGCAGGAGGATATAAAGCTGGATATGGGACTGGAGCACCATAAGGAGGCATAAGCGGATGCTGAAATATCATGCAATAAAGTGTAAGTACATTAAAAAAGTTCCGAGTTTTATACTTTATATAGTAAAAAAAAGTTACAACGTGCCGTAAAAAAAGAACTATATAAATTAGTGAATGAAAAGTCAATCACCTGGCCTCCCCACATGTATGGATGGGGAGTAGGACTAGCAACAGTTGGGGAAAAGAAGGGAGGTGCAGCTCCAGCACCATAATAAGCCTAAACCGGAAAAAATAGAGCTTAAGAATTAAAAATTCGTCATCTTAATGTTGATGTGGTGCACTTGACAATGATTAATCACGAAAGAAATTCATTATCAACCTGCATAGAACTTGACCAATCGGGATATGAAGGTGTAGCTTGTGTCTCCTGAAAATCAAACAAATGGAAAACTTCTGAATAGCGAGCCACAAAACAGAGAGTTAAGGAGAGTGACACTAAAATTTATATAAGCACGTATTGCGTGTAAATCTATGGACTAAGAGTAAAGGAAAATGACCTGAGTTGAAGTAGCTTTTGAAGGCTTTGCAGGAGTGCTTTCTTCCCCAGCCCCCATTAGGTGTCGATTCAATAGTCAATTACCCACGTTTATTTGATGATCCAGAAGATATGTACTCAATTAAAAGCTAGATGTACCTGAAAGTAGGAGAAAATAATGGAAAAAGAAGCTAGGAATCTTTTGTTTTTATCTCTACATATTACTCCAGTCATTGTCATATGGAATAACTACAAAGGTTTCAAGACCGAACAACCATCCTTATGGCATGAATGGAATTTTATGTTTCAAAAATTATATTTCAATATATAAAGCTGTGGCGAGGTCATTTTCTTGCCACCAACAAAAGAAGCTGTCAAGTTTTCATCTCTGTTGCTTATACCAAAGAAGATGAACTACAAAAATGTAAAATAGTATCAAGAAGGAGACTGCAAAAGGACGAAACATGATGTATATGTATCGAGGAGACAATTGTAGTCCTGCAACAGTTATTTTGGCTTTGAAAGCAATCTATTATTTACATTGCAACCTATGAGGAATCTCATTGAGCATAGAACACATACCATATTCAGAAAAGTAACTAACATCAAGATACTATAAGTAATACTTAACTGTCTTACAAGGTAGGATTCTCCCCACAAGAAAAAATGTAAGATTGTCAAGCCAAAAGAATTTGAAGATAAATTACACCAAAAGATTTGTTTAGATTATCAAGATCGAAAAGCTAAAGCCTTTCCTTAACCAAGAGATCTTTCTTATGTATTCGGTGCTTTGGAAGAATTAGCGACTTATTATACTCTCTTTTGTTCCTTTGTCAAAGAATGACTGCATGAATAACAAAAAGCTGATCCTGCACATAACATTGACCGGAAAACACCTTTTCTATATTATTTCTTGATGTGAATACTTTCTTTTATTAATTGAAGGGTTTTTCTTAAACTTATATGCAGCATTTCCAAGTATCCTCTACATCAAGAAACAAAAGCAGAAAGAACATTTGTGCAAGCATACAACTCCTCCAGTCAGAAACAAATCTCAGATTGGAATTTGAACTTTCTCCCATCAGGTTGTATTATAAAAAGCCAGTCTAACCGTAGTATTTTATTTCTTACAAACCAAGGTTCATCAATTATTTTCTTGCTCTCAACTCTAAGAATTTTTTAAGATGCCCTTATTCTTGCAAGTAAAAATTGTGATATTTAAAGCAAAGCAATAGCAACACATTTTCTACTAAGGGATAATTTAAGATGACTTGCCCACCTTTCCTTTTAAAGCATTCGCAACACACTGTCGACTTAAAACAATAGAATACTTAACTTCTTCCTCAAAAAAAGGTAAGTATCAAGTTTTCCAAAAAAACTACCCACTTTATGTCCCCTGTCCATACAACATTATATATTCTAGTCTAATTTAAGAACGTTCATTACTGAACATACAACAACATAGCCATTGTGATCCCACAAGTGGGGTTTGAGGAGGGTAGAGTGTACGCAGACCTTACCCCTACCTTGTTGAGGTTGAGAGACTGTTTTCGATAGAACCTCGGCTCAAGAAAAGCATTTTCAAAACAGGTTTGAAAAATACAAGAGTAAAGAAGCAACGTTCATTATTGAACATGACAAAGTAAAATGGCAGGACAATATCAGTCTCCATACAAATGTTAAATATCATAAAGGAAAAATGAGAGAATTTTCTGCTAATATTACGTAATTCAAGGTTGAAATAAGTTTTCCAATAAGAATAATGATGATGCTGATAATAATAATAATAATAATAATAATAATAATAATAATAATAATAATAATAATAATAATAATAATAATAAAAAAAATAAAAAAAATAGAAAAAAAAAGAAAGATGGGTTGTGAATTGCCAGCCTAATGTATACATTGTTAAATGCAGTGATAAAATCATAAAAGCAATTGCAGCTCCATATATCACCAAAATTTTCCAGTTTTGTACACTGAACCGATCTTAATGCCTGATAACAAAACTACGACTCATATTTCTGCTCAATGGAAAGCCCTAATCATGGGAAGGAAAAACATGACTTGTACATCATCCATCATATGATGTGTTAAATGTCAAAAGATCCTTCTTAACTTGTCCCGCAAACTAAAGACTTTCTTCACCTATAGAACCAATCTAGTCTAGACTTTTATTGACTACTCCCTAGACAAGATAGGGAAAGGATTTTCATGGCAAAAGAATTATCTGTTGCTAATAGAAGATTCATATTTCATCTATCTAGCAGCAACAAATAGCTATACTTGAAAAACCGAGAGCACAAACAAAGGAGTTTAACTTCTATACACTGTTTTTTATTACTATTAGGTCATAAAAACGAGTAACCCTCAATAGATAACATAAAAGTAAGACAGCTTATGCTACAACAGCTTAAAATACATAGTGTAAAAATTCTTTTAACTTTGTTTGTGTACTTAAGATAAATCCCAAAGGTAATTATGTTTCCTTCCTTAAAAGCACTATAATGAATGAATGTTTATTTCTCTCGCTCTCTCTCTCATGTGCAACTAACTATATGGCTAATGAAGTCTCTCAATGTAAAATTACCGTTTAGTTTCTAGGGGCCTTACATGAAAGAACAAAGGACAAAAGAGGAAAAGTTCACTTAACCCCCCATAGAATAGTTCAATTACATATAATCTGAATTTTAGGCAAGAAAGGTTTCAAACATACGCAATAATTTTGCTAATACAGACAGAAGAATTGGCTGTTCTTTTGTCAATTAAGCTACTAAACTTCCAACAATATATGCAAAGAATCTTTTGGGCCCAGTCAAATTTACTCTACAATATACAAACCAATTTTGAAGCTCAAATTGGAATCATAACAGAGAACACGTGGACAAATTCAAACGAAACGGCTAAAATTAGGAAGACCCCAAGTCTGAGAATTGTGGAAAACAACAACATATACAGTGTAAACTACTATATTCATAAAATAACCATAATAATTCAGTAGTTGTCTGTGTTTATGTGTTTTATGGAAAACTCTTAAGACAAAAACAAACAAAAAAAAACATAGAAATACGAAGTGAAAGAAAAGAGGGAAGAGGGAAGGACTGACCTGGGTGTCTGAAAGAGAGGGGGTGTGAGTGTGAGGTGGAACAAAGGAGAGTCCAACTCGGATAGACAGTCGATGTTGTTTTTTCCTTTCTTTCTTTCTTTTTTTTGTTTCGTTTCTAGTTCCTTCTTTGGTTGGTGTTAATGTGTGAAAGTACTAAAGAGCGAAAAACGGGAACTTTCCCTATCTTCATCAGAAGATCTAACGGTTAGGAGACTTTGGACGATTAACTTGTCCTAAATCTTAACACTAATTTAAAGTTTATTAATTATTGACAGTTGCTTCAGATTTATCCCCATAATAAATAATAACACGCATTCTGGTCCGAACACACTACTCTTTTGGCAAGACGTAATTGTTGTAGAGGCTGATGCAATTATGGAAAAAATAAAAAAACACTCGTAGGTTATGTTTAAGTTGCTTCTTTTTTCAAGTTTTTTCTTTTGTTTTCTATTTCGATTTTATGGTTATTGTCATGTAACACAGAGAAAAACAAGATTTTTCGCGACTCATTAACTATATTGTAAAGTGTAAACCATGAACATGAGTCTCATAGACCGAAAAATTAATATTCACCTTGACTTTTTTCTGGTCAAACAATAAAAATTTTATTTAAGCAAGTATGAATATGTACATCCACTAGTTCATTATTGGCTCTAGAACTAGTCCTCATCTTTGTAACTCTCTATTGACACTTCCTCCTATCCTTTGGATTCTATTACAATATATTCCTATACTAAGTTTGGGTATGAGTTTATACTTTCTAATATTCTTTTCCATCTGCTTCTATGTTGTCATTTACTATACAGTTGGATAACAACCTCTCTTGATCTAAGTTTGTGATCTTGGTGTTATTCTTGGAATTTTCTGGCATTGCGCTCATTCCAAATATGATAGACAATCGCAGCTAGCATCCATCCTAGGACCTCTGCATGAGCTTTGTTGCTGCACTTTTTGGTCGTTATCCTTTCAACTTCCTCTTCCCAGCTTCCTACATGACTATTTTCTCTTATCCAGCGTAAGAAGGATCTCCATAATTGTCATGAGTACTCACATTCAAAAAAACAGATGTGAGTGTGTTTCTTCAGCATCAGACGCGCATAACACACAGTTCCTAGGAACTTGTATTCACCATTTGGCCAATCTGTCAACTGTGATGAGACTTTTCTATAATGCAAGTCACAATATAAACTGGTAATTTGGCACATGACATGGTCCCATGGTGAGGCTTTTCCACGCGACTTTAGGATATTGAGGAATCAAATGCAGATATGCCTTCTTGATTATGAACTTATCAGCTTGAGTGAATTGCTGCATATCTATGTAGAGATCACTGTTTACATACCACTTCCTTGCATAAAAAAATTTCCTAACAAGCCAACATATTTGCTTAGGTGTCTCTATCTCACTGATATCTCTTCTCTTTATGCAGAAGCTGTGAATTCATTGTACCCATAGGGTATCTTTCTTGGATGTGATAGCCCAGAGTAGTTTGGCTATGACTAACTAATTCCATGTTTGGAATTCAATTATAACCTCCTGCTGATTTTGGCATACACAGCCTCTCTCATGCCGCGAATGCTCTTCTTGATGTTGCACATTGTCCAGTACATAAGAATGTTCTACAGGTACTTGTTATTAGTTGGATTACCTTTTTTGGTATCAAAAACACTTGTGACCAGTAGGTTTGAATCTCGAACAGGACACTCTTGATTAACTGCACTCTGCCACTATAGGAAAGGAATTTTGGTGGTCCAACATCTAATTCTGGCTATCATTCTCTCCACCAGAGGCATGTATTGTTGTACGTTATTTTCTTGGATGAAAGGGGAACACCAAAGTATTTAAAAGTATCTCACCTTCACTTTGAACTTAGAAAATAGGTTTCTTAAACAAATAATAATTAAAAAAATTTATTATTTATTTATTTATTTATTAGTAGACCACTTCATAACCGATGGAATTAAAGGCGATAATATGTCAAAAACTACAAGAAATCAAACTAAATCACATATAATGTGTACGCTAATGTTGAATAGAGACGAAGGAATTGGCCAAGAGGATGTATGTAATGTATTGACTATTGCATTCCGTTCAGATTTAAGTTATGCGTAACTATATATATGATACAGTTCGCATTTTCGTACGTTAAAGTTTCGTTGTAAGTTAATCGACGTAGGCTCGAGAATGAAATTATTTTGAGGTTATAGACGTTTATGCTATTTATAACAGGCGATAAGTAAGTGTCGTGAAGGTTAAAGGGTAAACAAATCAAAGAAAATGAGTTTCGTTAAAGGTTATCAATTTGAGATATCATACGATCCGAGCCATAATACTCGATATTTATGGACTAGTGTCATACAAGGTACCCTATGACCGCGATAGTAGGGTACATAAAGTATATTAAAAGTTAATAATATTTTAAGTAATTTGAGATAATTCTTAATTATATAGGTAATTGGTTAACTATTGATTAATAGGAGATTAATTAGTTAATTAAGAAATTGATGGGTAATTAATTAAGGATTTTAGATAAGACTAAGGAACCCCTTTAATGTGTAATTACTAAGGTTCATTAAAATAGGTTGCCTAATTAGAGACCTTTAGCCAAAGATTAGTCATCCTAATGGGGCCCATACCTAAAGGTTAAAGATAACCTCTCTAATTCACCAAAATAAATTGCTCACATCTACTTAAGTTAAGAAAGAAAGCTTCAGCAAAGATGATGATTTGCAATAGCAACGTAATTGCTTCAAACATTTCATACGAAGATTATATAATACTATAGCAACGTAAGATTTGCATTTCTAAAGGAGTATGATACAATCTTTCTCAAGAATATTATACGGATTGTTCCCTATTTCGATCTCGCCGTTACATATTTCGTTGCGATCGGCATGTGTTAGAAGGGTTGTCAAGAGAATCGGTTCAGGTATGTTAAGGCTATCCATTTTTTTTAGCATGATCCAAATGATACAAACGAAACGAGCAAGCGCACGACTTTCATAAATGACTCTATTCATAGAAGTACTAGGGGTGTCTATGTTCTTGATTCTCCATGTGACATATTATTACATCTTCTGTTCATGGGTCTCAGAAAAACACGTAGTCGATAAAGTTTATCCAAAAGGTATATTGATCTTATTAACATATTTCTTACGCATTTCATTCATTTATACATGTACATTGACCCATGACCAGATGACATTATATACGCATATATTATATGTATATGGGATGTGAGAAAGGGTTACAACGCTATATACGCACCACCACTTGAGCAACTGGTATATGTTAATAATTTTGCCCACAGTGGCCTGATGGGATGCCCTTAGAGGCTTGATGATGTTATGTACACTTATACATATGCATGATAAGACATTTATACGCACGTGCATGATATTATAAATGTTTCAGAATTTACAAAGTCATTTAGATTTACAGGTGGAATTCTTTACTCCATGTTTCATCTATGTCTTTACGTACTAGTTTTCATGCCTTACATACTCAGTACATTATTCGTACCGACGCCCCTACTTCCCGGGGCCTGCATTTCATGCCCGCAGGTGCAGGTAGACAGGCTGACGATCCCTCTTCTTATGATCCTTGATCAACGAGAGTTGGTGTGCTCCATTTGATCCGGAGCTTCTTTGGATTTTGGTACGATATGCTTGTATACATATAAGGGTATGACAGGGCTTGTCCCGTACTTTGTATAATTGTACACTCTATTAGAGGTTTATAGATAGTTATGTATGGTTGGATAGTATGTGGCCTTGTCGGCTTCCAGTTTTGGATATATAGTTGTCTATAGCAGCCTTGTAGGCTCGCCCTACCGTATTCCGCATGTATATGTATATATGCCTTTTCGATAGGTTTCCCTCACGCATGTTATTCTTGTAATTCAGCAGGTTATTGATAGATGTTATTCATGTTTATATCTTAGACGCATGCTTAAGGGTGTTTGACAGATAGGACTTGAGCACTCGTCATGACGCATCAATTTTGGTCATGGCAATATATATCCAAATTAAAAGGATTATAGCTATACCGAGTAGACGTTGATCACGAATATAATAATGATATCCTTAGTTCACAAACTTATAGCCTGTTTGGTAAAGTTTTTCAAAGCCAAATGCACTTCTTTTTTTTTTTTTAAAAAAAAAATACTTTTTTTTGAAGTTGAAGTGTTTGGCCAAGCTTTTAAAAGAAAAAAAAGTGTTTTTGAGTAGAATCAGAAGCTGTTTTGGAGAAATGAAAAAAATAGCTTCTCTTCAAAAATACTTTTTTGAAAAGCACTTTTGAGAAAAATACACTTAGAAACAGTTTTTAAAAACTTGGTCAAACACTAATTGTGTTAGTGAAACACAAACTGTTTCATACTAAAAGTATTTTTGAAAAAGGTACTTCTCAAAATAAACTGTGATTTTTGGGGAGAAATTCAAAAATAGCCAGATTTACAAGTGATCATTTAAAAATAGCCACAGTTTCAAAAGTAATCGAAATTTAGTCACTTTTCATGTAAAGATAAATCTGAACGAAAACACTATTCAAAATTCGGAAAAATACTCCAGCATAATATACCGGAGTTCCAGTATAATATACCGGTCCAGCATAATATACTGGAGCCAGCAAAGTATAGCGGTCCAGCATAATATGCTGCACAGGTGCACCAAACTCCAGTATATTATGTTGGACCGGTCTCTATTACAGCAAAATAGTGATTATTTTTTAATAACTTAACAAATATTGACTATTTTTGAATGACTAATCCGAAAACTGTCAAGGCCAAGCTATTTTAACGATTTTTGCAATTTGGCGAAACATGCTATTAAAATCGTGAATCAACTATCATTCACTACTGGAAAGGGTCAAAGGGAAGAGGGCCCGAGGGTGGGGTGGATCGGCCCATTTCAGGTGTTGGGTTTGGAAGTTGACACGTGAGGTTGAAAGAGGGATCCAGCTGGCAGAAAAGAAGTGGATAGGAATGACAAGGCAACAATTTAAACAACAAAAAAGTAGATAACTTAATTTAGTTACCCCCACCCGCCACCCAACTTTTTTTTATCCCAAAGAGGGCCGGCATTCAAGTCCACGGACTAAATTACTCTCATGGTCCTTCATTTTTTTTGAGT